CCTGACCCCCCATTCCCCGACCCCCCATTCCCCCACGGCGTCGTTCCTCTCCTCACAGCACAAAGAGCTAATCTGAGAGGAACACTCGCACCAGCTACGACACATTGTCAAACCAAAACCTGGGTGATTTTTTTTTTTCTTTAAATCATGGGACGCATGAGGTTAAAGCCATCATCCATGGAGGACAACAGAAGGGTTAGCGAAGTAGCTGCAAATTTCTGCCTATACACACTGCGGGGGATTAAACATTATGCCCCATTTTACTCATCTATCCCTTCAGCTGTTCTACCACATGTACAGTATCACAGAGATGCAAAAACGTTTTGGTTTTGCCCCCATTTGCAGATGAAATCAGTCTGCCACGGGTGCCAGTAGGAGGGATATCCGTCAAGTCGAGCAGCCCTAGGGCCAAACAACCTTTCCTGCAAGGCCCCACTCCCTTATCTGATTCCAACAGACAGGGGGAGATGATGGCCATGCCAGCCAGAGCTTTAGATTTTTAACTATATCCCTTTGCTTTCACGCAGCTTTATTGATTGCCCACTCATCTCATTGTATTGCACTGCTAAAAGAACGATTTGAAAATACTCCATTTGTAATGTGATAACCCAGATTAGGATGGCAGAGAGGTGGACTGACACTTATCCTCCGTTTGTCCAAGTCTCCAGCACCGTCTATGGTTATTCTTGTAGATCACCCCTGTCAAGTTTCACCTTGCCTAGAGCACAGATGACCCCTATCTTTCCAATGTTCTATTGTTTATTTGTATAAATGGGAAATGGTAAGGATATGGTCCACTCCTAGGCCTCACCTTTTATGAATAAGAATAGTGACATTTGAAACCAACCATATTTAACATGCACTCATTTATTCCCAAGTTCAACATGGGTAAATGGAATAATGACATGCTAGAAAAGCAGTCTGGTTGATGCTAACTGTATTTCTGCAGGAGCTTTCAGGTTCATTCATGATTGTTTTTGACCACAGGCTAAATGTGCTCATCGACCGCTGTGGACCTGACACATTCCTCCGTGTTGAACAGCTCCCAGCGACAGTACAGAGTAGGAAGCATCTGCCTCTTTACTCCACCCAGATGGCAGCAGAAAGTATGTAAATTGGTTCATTAACCTTACAGTGCTTTAACCAGTGGGCCATGCTCATTCCATCCGGGTTTTCTTGTATTGTATTAACGTCCATTAATGGCATCGCGAAACTTTCCCTAATAGCCTGAGGTGATTCTCTGTTATGTTATCAAACATTGTAGTAATTATACATGACATCCCTCTGATTAACAGTCCTGTGATTATTGCACCATGTCAGATCATATTTTTTCCTCCTGTTTTAAAGACAGTCATCCATTTTCTTCCCGAGAACATATTTCAAAGGAAGAATAAAGGGGGGTCTCATATGATTGCAACGCTCCCCCACCCCCAACAAGCAGGCTCGGATCTTTAACCCCTGACAATAGAATGGCATGAAGAAAAAAACAGGGGGGTGAAAATGTTGAGAGGATCTGTGCTTTCACATGGCGTTTCCCCCCAGTGCTTGCAGAGTGTGTGAAAAATAAGCTTGCAGTGTGTGTCTGTGAGCGAGCTGCCAGCAGTGAGGTCTTGCACCTGGAGCAGGGAGGAGCATGCAAAGGGTCAAGGGTCACCTCGTGGGCTAAACAGGATTGGAGTTATCCATCTTCCTAAGAAGGCCAGATGACCCCTGCGGCTGCATAGCACAACCTGAGCTTTTCACACAGCCCTTCCTTCCCTTCTCTTCTTCCTCTCTCGTTCAGCTCTATTTTCTTTACTCCTTTGGAAAGGCGCAGTAATCCATAATCCACTCAACTATCAGCGGCTCAATTATCCCTCCCGTTCGCCCATTTTCTCCCCTTGGATGGAGATTCAAAAACAATTAACCTCTTCACGGCTGGGGACTTTTCCCAGGGAAGGGCATGGAGGTAATTGAATGACTCCAACATTTACATTCCTGACCATGACTTCACTCCTTCACGCATAAATCTGGTTACCGTAAATCCTAATCGGTGGCTTTGTGATCGTCCAATGTCATTATCATGGATGTTGTATTAGCACGCTATAAAGACAGTATTTCACTTCAAGCGGGATTTAACGGGACAATTTGTTCATGTTTACATAACACCCTTGACCTACTTAAACCTTAATATATTGACATCATTTCAAGTCAACTATGTAAACAGATTATTGATTTAGAAAAGTATGCCTTCAAATGACCTCAAATAGTAATAATTCTGGTTCTAAACTCGAAACACCATGCTCTCCTATAAACAATACAATTACAACAACAACTATTTCACACCAAGTGTCTATAAGCTATGGCGCATCCCCCCACATCCTCAGCCAATAAAATGTTGTCTTCTCGCCCTTCGTTATGGAGGGGCCCCCTATTCATCTCCAGGTAGAAAACCTCAAAGTGTAGGAGGGAAGAACAGCTTGTTGCACCCATTGAGCTTTTTATTACTTCCCCCTTCAAAGGGTGGTGGCAGATGAGGAGACATCCTCAATCTGTGATAAACAGAAAACAAACAAGTTGCAGGATTTTGGTTGAAGCTCTATGCACATTTTAGAACACTTGTTATTCAAACAATATTTCTGAGAAGATTGCATGGTTAAGGGGAACCGAGAGAGCCCATTCCCCGCTGTTAGGGCATAATCTTTCAAAAGTGGTCATCATTGGCAAAAACAACTCCAAAATAATTTGGCTATATCATACAACTAAACTTATATATGTCACACAAAGACTCCACTCCAACAAACCATTTTATATAAAGCAAGCTAGCTTTCATATCTAGCTAACCCTGCAGCAGCCAAATGATGTAATCCCTAACCAACACACATCGAGGAAACAAAGGAACGTATTCCTCAGAAGACGGAAGACACTCCTAAAGAGGAATTTGTCCATCAAAGAAATTCACATATTTAAGCATTTTACCAACTCGCACCTCTAATTAGTGTTTTCTCCATCCTTTCACTACTTCAGAAGCCATATCGGCTTAAGCCCCAAGTCAAAGCCGCCTACACAGATAGTGACGTGATGCGACAGACAGCGTCTGACGGCCTCATTTAAAATCTGCGGTACAGTAACAATGGAATCTTTGAGTAGAAATTATTTCAAAAAAGATCGCATTTGTTAATAATACAATGATGTATTGCATTGATCCCAACTGCATTTTTAAATTAAGGTTTAACATTGTCAAAATTTACTCATTTAAAACAGAGAACCCATCAAGCTTGGTAGGACAGAAAAATATCAGCTACAATAGAACAATTAAATGTAACCCTTTAAAGATGAGCCAAGTAGAACTGCAAATAAACCCTAGCTAATTGAACAAAATAGAGACAAAATGAAAAAAACTACAGGCAACATGGCCATAACTATTCTTGCAGACGCTTGCCAGAAAAGCATAGCTGAAATCTCACACACTAACACACGCACAGAAGAAGTCTTTGATGTTTCCTCATAAGTGTGTGTATTGCAGCTGTGTGAGTCACCCACACTCCATTCAAGGTCCATAGGCTACACAGTGGCAGCAACAGAAGCAGTAGCAATGAAACTGCAACCCTGTACCCCCCAACCCCCACGCGTACATGTACAAACAATATGGCGTGTCTTGATTGTGGATGGAGAGAGAGAGAGAGAGAGAGAGAGAGAGAGAGAGAGTGAGGCAGAGGAATGGGCTGTGTCAGCCAGGCCAGGATGGGGTTAATAAAAGAGGAGAAGAAGAAGAAAACCTCAAACAACTGGCTGTGCTCCAGACTGACTGAAACTTCTCTTGATCATTATGTCTAGCCTTCAGGTGTCTGGGTTAGGGCTGACTGTAGGTGGTAGTTATGTTGAGGGTGGTGTAGATAACACAGCAGCCAGACAAAGAGGGAATGAGAGGGCTGCCTACATACCACCAGCATCAAGGAGAGGGAGGGAGCAACAAGAAGAAAAAGGGAGGTTATACAAATTTCATTAGACAATCCTTTGCAGAAGTGACATGCTGTATCGGTTTTCTTTCTTTTTTCAGCTCCCCTCCCTTCTCACCCCTCCAGAGCGCCGCCTCAGAGAATGGAGCAGACAGATTTTATAGGTCCTAATTAAGGCCATCTGAATTCTTTCAAAACATCAAATGGCCCTGGTCCCCGCTCTTTCCCTCTGATTGTGCAGAAATCACGGAAAATCAGAGGGTACCTTTTCTGCTTTTCTAAATGTACCCACATTTTGCAGCAGCCACCCGTTCTACTGTCTTGACCCCACTACCCCCTAATTTCCAATCTGCAAACTACATGACCTAATTGAGTGCCTTTTAAATGTACTGTTTTGACATAAATGTGTATAGAGGAAGAACTACAAATAAAAATGCATTTCAGCTTTTGATCTTTGCATGACCTGTGTCTACACTTTTCCCTTTTTGTCATATCCTGCATTGGATATATTCTCTATAAAAGGTTATTGAAGATCCACCCTTATCCTGTCTGGCCAGCTGAAGTGAAGTGCAGACCTGATTCAGTGTGCTTCAAAAACTCAAGTTTGTTCCTCTTTCTCTCCTGTCCCACCTTAATTGTCCTCATTGAGCCGTGTGGACCAGTTGCACAGCCAGCTGCCTCGGGTCAGCGGGTGTACCGTGTGCTTTTTATCTATATTCCATGCTATGGCGCTGCGCGTAGACATCCACATATACAATGAGAACATTCACGGAGACGCACAAAGAATGTCGACTGTACAAAATTAACTTTTAGACGACTCAAGCATTAAGTGAAGTCACATGTGTTTAGCAATAAAAGCCTATACCGTTTAAAATGTTTAATTCGCCTTTAAATGTAGCCTAGAAAAATAAATCAGAAAGCACACAGCACAAGTGCCACATGCAGTCACGATTTTCAAACAAAAAAAATAGGACTAGATTATAAATAAAACGACTTATTTATTGAATGGTAGCAGTAAGTAACAGATAAGAACCATATAAATATATGATGTTGCCTACTTACGATTCATTTCAGTAACTTCTGGGCGTTATTGTCTCGCTTCGTGACTCTCCGGTCTTTTGGAGACGGAAAAAAGTCTGTTCCTCCAGCGAAGGGGTCTCACTCTCGGCGACAGGCTGGTCATCTTCATCTGATGGTGATAAAGTTTGCATAAGATAACACCTGGTTAAATCTGCCGAGGACAGTGGACGTCCGATTCTACCGGTGTCAAAGTCTTCAGTGATGCTTGCACTCGCCGGGATTGAGTGCTGAGAGGAGAGGGAGCGCACAGAAAGACGCCATGTGAGCAGGGGAGAGGTGCGCCATTGGCCAGTCGGGGATCAGTATAATAAGGCAGCTCTGTACGCCATTGGCTCAGGACATGAGCGGACCTCCCCATTTGTCTGTGCGCAAGAATGTGAGTGCGGCTCACTGTTCATAATTTTCAACAGGGGGAGGGGGGGTTGGCGGGGGGCAGTAAGTAACACATTGTTCCAAAGATCTGTTTTTTGTCGTCTACCTCCACAAGTAGCCTAACACGGAAGCCAGAGCTGGTGAGTCACGTTTTGACCGGCCGTCAACTTGGAGATGTTGGTACTTTAATCTAAATGAGGTTTAATTTGATCTCGACGTTTTCAGCATTATGCCGAAAAGAAAAATGACAACTAAAAATGGAAGCAGAATCTAGAAATACAGCAAGTGAGCGGTAAGTGTCGGTAGCAGTTGGATGTAGGCTACTGGCAAGATGATTATGCTAGTTTAGCTATCAGGTGACCTTTATCCATTATGGAGCAAGTTCACATAGACTTTTGGTTCAATTGTCTGATATTGCACTGATAGGTCTTTGTTGTGCTTGACTTTTAAATATTATACTCTTACCACAACACACACACATTAAGGCCGGTCTGATTTGAATGTGATGTAACATACATACAGCTTCAATTGTATTCATATAAATAATCTTAACAAAGGAATCATCATGACTCAAATGCAAGGAATATGATTAATTCATTTCCCCACCATTTTACACCAAAATGACACTGAAATGCATTATTTTCATAGTTTGACTTCAAGTTCTTCTGGTGCTTTCTTCCCATAGTGTAGTTAGTTGTTCCTACAACCAAAACCAACCTCTACAATCAATCAATTTTTGATTCTCACAAGGTTCAAGCCAATGTATTATTTAGGATACAGGAAGCTATTTGAAAGGAAAGGATACAACCTAAAGGTGCTGTGTGTGATGGGAGGTAACAGCGAGAACATCTTCTAATATTCTCTTTAACATGTATATAGACAAAGGGAACATGATCTAATTTACATATGAATGCCATTCTATACTCTGTTTCATATTTCCATATGGATTTTTCTACACAGTTAGACTTCACAGAGGGCGAAAGCACATAGAAGAGCATCCTCCCTTGGTCTCTCCTTGGTTCTCTGGAATGAGGAGGCAGTGGAACTCAAGGTTCTGTATGGGTGGGAAATAGAGCGCATGTAATCTGGACCGCGCATCTTCCCCTGCTCAGGCTGCGGCATTAAATCAATATTCGGCAAAGCTTTCTCTCGTTTTCACATTCACTTGACTGCTGCCGTGATGTGCCGCAAGGGTCGAGCAGCCGCTCCCTGATTTTTGTGGCACTTGCCCCCCCTTTTCTTCCTCCTCCTCCTCCCCCTGCTCCTTCACTTCACTTCATGGCAGACACCCTCATTTGGATGGCTCCAAGGCGATGCGCCCATTCCATTTGTCTTGTGCGTTAACGGGAGGCGGCAGGAATAAGGCAACGCGTTATCTCGACACAAAACATTATCTCCGCCTCGCTCCTCCAACACCATGAAACAATGATTATTAACTGCTTGAGGAGCATGTTCAGGAGTATTCGAAGCTTGTCGCCACACTTAAGGAACATGAAATATATTTCACAACATACCCATTGAACTAGATTTTTGAAATGTAATCTCAAGATAATGCTCCCTCTTTAGTTTCCACTTGTGAATACTTTCAGTACTTGCTTGCCTGTCGCCCTTGGAGAGTATATCTAATGGCATTATAACTGGACCTGTGACAATAGCATTTTTACCAGAAACCAGCCTTGCACTTCCTTTTCAAAATGTAAAAGCCTGTCGTGCTGCATCATCCCGTTGTAAGATACTGGTTGGGCATTAAAACACACTCACACCCCATCGTTATGAAAGCAAAAAACCCTGCCTCTGCAAAATGGGTCATACACTGCAGTCACTTTATCTCAGCAAATGTATTGTGCCTGTGTGAGTGGTAGACATGCGCATGTGTGATTAAACATCAAAGGCAAGACTTCAATATTAGAGCATGGGTGCCTTCGCTAAAACAGCAGTCGAACCCTTCGATGTTTTCGGGGGTTCCAAGTCTGTATTACATAGTTAGCCCCACAAGCGTACATTTTAATCTTTCTTTAATGCCTTTGAAAAGCCAAGAGGAAGGTGCTCTCGTGCTCCTAAATAAACTCGATAGCGTCATATTTTTATTCTACCGCAGTGCCCTGTATGCCTTACGTCAGAGATTTCAAGCCAACATTTGAACACAATTTTTTTGGATACAGAAAACTCAATCACGCTTGGCTCATGAACGATGATACAAAAACAGGCTAATAGGTACACACACACACACACACACACTAGCAGATATTTATCCACTGTGGAGTGAATTTGAGCGCTGGGGTTCAAAGCAGTGCCAATCAAAGATGGGAAGACAGCTCTCTGCCGGCGTCTTATAGACCCATCACTGTGGAAGCTAATCTGCGTCGCAGCTCTATATTTAGACCAATGTTTTGTGAACACTTAGCATAATTCGCTGAGACGAAAGGAGCTTTTCGAAGCTGTTAACCTCATCTCTTTAATATTCATTTGGAGTTTTTGAGCTGCGCATTCCAAAAACACCTGTTCTCACTTTTGTCATCCAATGAAATGCTCTCCATTTCAATGGGAAAATAGTTAGTTATGAATGGAAATTATGATGCAATGTGCCTGTGAGAACGTGCTGTGGATGTGAGTTGATCCGCTCAACTGCTCATGAGAAAACTGACTTTATCTGAAATCAGTAAAAAAAAAACGGTGTAACTGGGGTTTGAAAAGTGCCCTCACTCTCTCAATCAGCATCTTCTGATTAATCTCTGTATCGGCTTTCATTATGCTCGTCTTCATCATCACATGATTTTACACCACATTCCAAAGATTTTTGAATTTAAAGGAAGCATATGATCCTGAAATGACACTACACCTGGCAATAATTCAGTCCCTTTTATTATCACCCAGGGATTGAAGGCGGTTCATGTGTCAATGTGTTTGCATGTGCGTACCAAATGCTCTGATCTGGTCAAGGTGGGCCAGAGGGAGTTGGTCATACCCAAAGCCTTTACCTCCATCTGCTGTGTGGCCTGCAGAAACACCCTCACTCTCACACAAACACACAGGCAAGATGAACTGTCTGGTTCAAAAGCTTGTCCCTTAAGCATTAAACGCTATTCGCTTTGGCCACAGAAACACGCCACACATGGCCTGCATGGCATCTGCCTCCCAGCTCCCGGAGCCAAGGCATGGGGCCGAGGGAGGGGCCGGGGGCCAAGATAAGCTCTTCCTCCCCTGGTCACCGCTACGCTGTGGGGACCGGACAGGCCTGGAGCCTCAGCTGAGCACCACTGATAATATCCACATGAGTGTATGTGTGTGGTTGGATGGATGAGTGTGTGTTGAGAGGTTTAGTGGATGTGTGTTTGTAGGTGGGTTGGGAGCATGCAGGGATGCACACATTTGCCCAAATAGTCAAATATCACAGCTAAGACAAAAATGCCTGTCTCTGAAGAATTTGAAGTTGTACACTTTGCTGCCAAACGTTCACAGAAGTGTGTACAGATATGTTTGCTCATGAGAAATGCCTTTACTTTCAGAAATTATAAATTGTATAAAAGAATGAGCTCACATATATGTGCACAATTGAAATAGTTTAAAATGTGTTTTTATAAAGTAAGTAACTCTGTTTAAAACACATCTAAACACACACACCAATCTGACAACAAAGAACTGACACAGAAGTGACATTATGCCAATGGTCTTATCTTCCTCATTCTAGTGTTGAAATCTTTACCAAAACCTGCAAAAGAAACAAATTAAATTATCCGATTTGCAAATTGTCTTTCTTCTTTCAAAGAAACACAATTTAACAAAGTATAAAACCCCTGTTAGGCAGGGAAAGACAAAGCCTGTAATAAGGACATTACACACACTACATTTGCCAATGACATGTAACAATGCTGCTTCCACAATAGTGCTCATTGTATCCTTTTATTCTTTGGATTTTTTTTCTTTACCCTCATTTGCGGTGTGAGATTAATTGCAGCGCTGCTGACTGCAAATCAATCTGTTCTTGTTCACTCGCTCTAATTCATTGTTTATTTAACATGAGTGAAATCTAGTCCCTTGTTGAATGACACAAAATGGTCCCTTCTTGTTCAGCAGTACTGACCTTATCATTTTAACTTGTCATATTGGAATACTCATTTACTCATCATGTCAGGAGTCGGCTCACGTAACGACTCATTGAGGCAAATTCAATTAATTCTGGGCCTTTAATTGTGTTGACGTTTCAGATAACAGTGTCTGGATCATGATAGAAACACTACTGGTGAAAAATATGGTTTTGAAATGGGAGGATAATTCTTTAAATGAAAATATAATATTGTTATGATATTGTACACAATGAGGGGGATGTGATACTTATACAGTATATTAATAGACAGTCCTTCAAGCACCAAACCGTGTGTAAGAACCAGCTTTGTATAACTCTATTGATAATATTAAGTACATCTAAGAACAATCCATAAATAAATAAAATCACTTCCTTGGGGGGTCAGCAGCTGTACGTTGCGTTTTAATTATTGTTTGTATTGGTCAGGTTTAGTTGTGTTCTTTTTCATCACTAAACAACAAGAGGCCACTCACACACAGCATATCTATCCACTAGTGAGATAAACTTTGACTGTGGATTATCTTTTCTCTTTCAATACCAATACTAGTGTTTTGAGAAATACAGAGCTATTAAATCTGTTTTGGGGCCCTCTATTAAGACTTCCTCCATGCCTCTCTTATCTACTTTATACTTTGTATAGCAACAATTGTATCAAGTAAAAATCCTACACACTCATTTAGCGGTTCTCTGATGTCTAGCCCAGAAGTGTCTGTATTATTGCTCAGACAGTTGCTTTCATGAGACACACAGATGCAACCACT